GACGGCGGTTTATGGAAGTCCTTGGAGGGACATATACAGAAGCTATGCAAAGATCTTTGTTCTTCACATTTATTTGGCAAGCGACAATTTCAATGCCTGAAATTATTGGGATTGAGATTTTATAGAAGGAGTAGCACTTTTTGATCCCCAAAAGTACGCCACCATATGAATCATCTCGGTCCAGGCGGATAATGTTAAAATCGTGGAAGTTTAGTTCATCTTCAGAAGAAAGCCAAGTTTCACAGAGTGCAAATATATCACAATCAGAATTGTGAATCAAATACTTGAACGAGTCTAATTTAGGTATTAAACTACGACAGTTCCATTGTAATAAAGTGATCATATCTTGATCCTCACTCGACGAATTATCCATCGAAAGATATGAATTCACCAATGAGGGGCCATGATGCAGTCAATTGCTTGAAGTAGTTTCCGACTATAGGAACAAGCAGGTCAATAAGCCCTCGAAGTGGCGATTCGTCGAGAAAGCCGAGGGCATTCAAAATGTTATCCACAATGTCCTTAAATTTAATCTTTCCTCGCTTGGACGGGAGAGTTTTCTTTGAATTGCGAGTAGACGTGGTGTTTATTTTTGGTAATCTCTTACGATTACCTTTATTAGGTAGCGGCGGGGTGGAAAAGCTGCAGCAAGGATCAGATGGAGCAGCAATTACCGATTTGTTCGGCTTTTTCAATGAATCCCCGCTACCTTCAGATTTTTGCATGCTTTTGAGAGTGGTTTTATTTTTTTCCGGCGCACTCCCGGGGAGCTAGTCGGCTTCCTTTTACCAGGGGCGTGTACCTCCGGAGACTCACTCTCATCTGCTATGTCAGAGTCCAGTTCATCGGAAGACAAAATCTCAAAAGTGTTTTCATTTCGAGCGGCTGATGCCAACGAAGCAGAGGTTCCATTTTGTAACTTAACCATTTCTGCAAACGTCAGCTTGGAGCGTTCTTTTATTGAACGCTTCACATTATTGGTACGCTTCTTGTACGCGGGGCAGTCCTGCAAAGCATGAAGAGGTTCTTTGCCACAGTAAGCACATTTAGTTGCTTCCTGTTGGCAAGCACCCTCCATGTGGTCTTGGCTACATTTGCCACAACGGGGCTTGTTGTCACAAAAAGCAGCTGTGTGTCCCAACTTTTTGCAGTTGGTACAATTGTATACCCTTGGTACAAAAAGTCGCACCGGGAAAAAAACATTTTCAATTTCTAAAAACTTTGGGAGAACCGATCCAGCGAAAGACACCTGTAGTGAGCCTGAAGGGGAATAAGTCTTTTGACCATCTACCGTGGTCGCTGAATACAATATCCTGCAACCCAGAACGTCCACGGTAGATGTTGCAGCATTTTGAAGGCGCCCCATACCTTCCATGACGTCATCACACGTCAGGCTCACTGCAGAGACCACGCCGTCTATCTCCACATCTCGAGATGGGATGTAGACGTAATACTCTTCATTATAACCCTCGTCGTCAGCAATGTCATTTGCGACTTTATATGTGAGTGCAGTTATACGCAGTTTGTTCCGATTGACCTGATGAAATTCGGTCCCCGGAAAACGACGCGTCAACGTTCTTTTAATCCCTAAGAAGTTTAGGGCTTTCTCTTTCTGCCGAAAGTAGACAACCCAAGGCGAAGCAGAAAACGCCTGGTAATGACGCTTTCTAACTTTATCATTGGGAGGCTTGACGCCCCCCTGTGCATCATCCATACGAAATTTAAAACTTTCGTTAGCAAGTAATTAATTTTATTTTTACTTTTTTTGATTTAGGAACCACCCTATGTGGAATCGTTTACTGGGGGAGAGACAGACGATTCACAAGCAAACAGTCAGAGGAATGGGTATACAAAAAAACAGATACGTGCTACTATTTGCCCTTACCGTTTCTACTGCTTATATTGTTGCTGCTCTGCCACAATAGATGCCGGTCGTACACACCGTCCGTGCGGTGGCTCACTGCTTCTGATGGTTATTGTTTCCAGTTGTACACACCGTCCGTGTGTTTTGCTGTATGCCGAATTTCGATATCGTCGAAGCGGGTTTTAAAGGTGGACAGTCCGACCGTAGGCTTCGCCAGGATCGGCTGCTTCCTCCAGAAATGCGCGAGTCACCTGAGGCACAAAAACTTTTTCCGGAAAATAACGTTTCGCGGTGAAAAAAACACTTTCAAAGCTATGCCTTGTGACGAGACAACAGACCCTGATGTTGCTCATTCGCTAGCAGAACGAGGAATGGAAACATTATGATAGGTCCTATTAGGATTATATCTGAAAAATCCAAATGTGGCCAACGCCCACCAATTAGCCTTTGGCTCTTCATCTTTGTTCTAGTTTAGTGCTAATTTACAGGATACCCTTATGGGATTGTTTTGGTTTGAATTTAAAAATTTGATAACCTACCTACTTGAGCACAGGAACCTACCTAACTACTTAAACTAGGTTGCCAAATCACGAACGATCTGGTGGCTTGATCGCAGACAGGCGACTCTGAACCTTTCCAGCGTGGAAGTCTTTCGCTCCTCGAGCTTTAGGTGGTGGCACTTAGCACAACTCTCCCAGATTGGCATACCATACTCAATAGCCGGCAGAATGATCTACTTGTGGACAGCAAGCTTGTTTTTGAAGGGCAGGTTGAACTTCCTGTTTATCAGGTGGTAGAGCGACCTGATCAAGATGTTACACTTTGTGGATGTCTTGTCCTAATGGGATCGGAATAGCAATTTGCTATCGAGGGTGAGACCAAGGTAGACTACTTTACTCGACCATTCAATGGGAGTGCTATCAAGATGGATCTTGACGTTAGCAGGCGGAACTAGCCGAGGTAAATTCGAGTGTGGAAACAGAATGGTTTGTGTTTTAGCTGCTTTGATACAAATCTTCCAGCTCTTGAAATAGTCGAACAGAACATCCAGGCCTGATTGTAGTTTACTCGCCAGAGCACGGATCACTCGACCCTTATGGAGGTGTCACACGATATGTTTAAAGGCGACTTTTATTCAAATAGAATGAACTTAAAATTTTATTTCACTAGATGATTGTTTGAGACCTCTAGTTTCATAATCTGAAGATTTAAAATATTTCATCGGTGAAAATTTGATTTTTTTTTTTTCATTTCTTATGTTTTTTTTTAACGCAAAAATACGTTTTGATTTTTAAAAAAATATTGGAACAATAAATCGTAAATCTAAAATCAACAGTTTTTTCCTCTAATTGTACGAACAATTTACGTGTAAATACATTTTTTGTATTGTCATGGTGAAAAGTTGAACTAAAAAAACTGCATATATCAACCATTTTTTTTTTTTTGTATTTTATTACCTTTTAAGTTCAGACGCAATGTATCAATGTGGTACAGAGAAAGGTGAAGCAGATCTTGAAATATAATTGTATTAGTAAACCAAAAAATCAACGTAAACGCAAGTAGTGACGTCACTAATTGCTTGTATCGCACAGGGGTTTTACTCACACAACTTAACCGATTGCTTCACCTCGGTAATCCAGCTCATTGGCAATGTATATGCGCCTTCTGTTATTTATTTCATTGTTGTAGTCATGCAATGAGTTACAGAAAGATGCGAATCGTCAAATGCATTTGTATAAGTAACGCGAAAATATTGTAAACACAAAAAGTGACGTCAGTATTTGCATGGGCAGCATACGGAGCCCTGCGTATGTAGTTGAGATATCGCTTATATCGTACAGTGGTATCACTTGCACACAGGGGTTGAAACGGTTGACGTTTTTTATTACACTCGCTTCGTTGTATTACAGTATTCGTACACTCTTGCTCTTAATGCCTTATTATAATCTCTACAGTTATGATTTTACGCTTTCAATTAGGTTTGCACTCAATAGAGAAATTCCAATCAATTTCTTTCAGTTTTTCGCCATTTTCAGCAGTATAACAACTCAGCAATCCAGTAGCAGCCGATGGAGGCTATTTTTTTTTTTTTTTTTGAAAATTCACGAAACGGTCATCAATATGCGGACAATCTTCTCAAAAGATGGATCTCCTACACGTAAGCCTGCAAAATAAACCTTTTCCAAGTCGATCGATTAGCTGCAAGGCATTAGGAGATGTTCAGAAAATTAAGTGACCGCATCGTTTTTTTTTTTTTTTTTCCTTTGGTTTGTTTTTTCCGTCGATCTTGTTTTCTGTGCTGAGCACCAATGCTACCGACGTGCCAGCAAGGCAGCTCCCACACCTGGACCCTACCTATCGACCCATCAACTCATGAACCGGGGACCAACGGCTTTACTTCTCATCCGAAGGAAGGCGTGATCAGAGATGTTATGCCTCAGAACATCCCGGCGGCGCCGACTGGGATTGAACCCAGGCCTGCTGGGGTGAGAGGTAATCACGCTTACCACTACACCACCGGCGCCGTTGACCGTATCGTTTGACATCACAGTGCTAATGAAAGAAACGGTTAGCCTGATTAATTTCGCAGACCAGAGTATCGAACCCACCCGTTAGTCATTGATTGATTTGTATTGAACTGTATTACCCATTCAATTTTATTTATACCTTTTGAATGCAATTTATATATCGCTGGTCCCGCTACATACCAAACATCAACAACAAATATGAATCATTGGCCACAGAATAACCCACTACATACACTCCTCTTCCGGTTTTATTTGACCAATGCAGCAGAATCTAGAATATTCACAAACCCCTGGAACTGACAACCAAAACACACATGTTCACACAAAACGGCATCCAGTTCCTCCAGTAAGTATGCTTGCTGCATCGTTATTTTTAGATTCGATATCGAGTTCGTTTCGGCAAACCCATTCACTCGTACGCGATTATGACGGATTTCAGCTGCCTTTCTGCATGCAGACGGAAAGATTCGGTTGATTTATGGTGATGGAATTGATTTTCTAGTTAACGGATTAGCGCCTCGGTGAAATTTTCATCCGTACGTCCACCCGACCGTCGCTGTCGCCACCAGGCTGTGATACGTCATGCCGCAGGATGAAGAACACGCTTTTCACACCGTCTGAATCAGCAGAATCAGGTACGAGCACGAGGCTGCGATAATCTGCAAGCAACGTGCAAAATTTATTGCCTATTTAGATTGAATTAGGCGATTCCGTGCTGGAAATAACGTTGCATCTTACACACTTGGTCTAGCGAACATTGACGAAGTGAGAAGTGCCATTGGTTTTGGTTTATGAGACTCCTATAGGAATGTAAGTACGTACCGTCGTCAGGAACGATTTGTCCAGTGCAAAGTTGTAAAACATAATTGTTTCTTCCTGGGTACGCTGAAGAACCATGACCAAAACGGTAATCTGTGGGTAGACAGAAAAGAATATTGAGTTGATTTGCATAAGTATAGTCATGGCTGTACGTTCCGAATCCGGAACATCCGATTATGGTTTGCTACTATTATGGCACAAGGAATTCACATATACCATAATGGCATCAAGAAAAAAATTCACACACTTCAACAGCTTTATATGTTTGTCCCTGACTGAAAAACTACACATTTTCAGAGAAGATTGTTTCGAGAGTACCGTAACCCGGGAGACAATTGATCTTCAGGGTCAAATTGATCATTATACCTTGTGTTTTTAGCTGTCCCGTTGAAAATTGTCGGTCATAGATATCAAGTTTAATCTTTTTATTATTTCGTCAAGTTGCTCTAATGTTTGATATGATGACTTTTTCTCAACAAAAAAAGGTTTATTAAACTGCATACATTTCAATTTTATTTCACAGTGTCTCAGGAGTGCGATCTTAAAATCCCTGGCGTAAGCATTTTGATGAAAATCGTCTAATTTCTTGGCATAATATTCTAAAATAGTTCGACTTCAGTGCCACTAGATTTCGTTATAAATCCACGTTCAAGCTGATGGCAATAGTCGTTGCAGGCCTATAATCGTTTGATTGAATGATGAAATTGTTAGCTTTGAACGCCACACGGTGTCTCTGGTAGGATAACATTATTATGAAAAAAAAAACAGTATAGCTGATACATCCACCAAACGAAAGCTCTAGTTATCTTTGATGAAAACATTCCATGTTTTGTTCAAACCCTTTCAAAAAAGAGAGGTGAAGTGTGGGATTTGCTTAGTAGGACGGAAATTAGATCAAAACCCTATAAATAAAATTTTTCTTTTTTTTTTAGTGCCTTCATTTTGTATTGTAACAGTTTTAATCATAGTTGTCTCACTCCCTATGCAGCAATGGCGATGAAACAGATAATCCATGGCTAAAATAAACATTGATCAAACTGTGTTTTTCAGTATTTAAATATATTTCGGTAATTTTGTGATAAATTATTAAAAAATGTTCTACTTTTACCGAACACTTTGGAATTTTAATTTAACAGATCGATTTTGTTGTTTTTTTAAACGGAGTTCCGTAAAAAGTTCTAAGTGTGTGGATATCTACATCTTTACTTCTTCTAAATTTATGAAATAATCAGTAATCTAGCACAGGATGTAATTTTTTTTAAAATAAATATTTAATAATTTATCAATTTTCTCTATAATTTTGTTTTGCCGATTGCTCTCAAACTTAATGTCTTAAAAAATAAGGATGATTTTTAGTAATTTAAATGTTCTATGTAAATTAGCTTTTATTAGTTAATTATTCAAAGTACCTTGGCTGCAAACAGCGATTCGATTGATGGTTGACAATGCGATAATCAATCGTTATGATTCAACCACCAATTCAAGCTAAGAAGTTAAGAAATTTCAAGAGAACTTCAAGATCTTAACATGAATCCAGAGAAGAAAACTTCAGGGAAACTCCGAAAAATTCAAAAAAGTTATATGAACATCAGGAAAATCCATAAACATTTTTTTTAAATAGTCCCGTAGGCTTGAGGAAATATCATTGCAGTTCCATTAATTTCATAAAAAAGTGGAAAATTTTGGGAAGTTTCCAAATGTTCAATTAGTTAAGTAAACTCCAGGGATGTTTAGAAGGCTTATGACATTTTTAAAGATTTTAATTAAGCATATAAATGTTTAGTTCAGGATAGTACCAAGCGCTTCAGGAGAATTACAAGATCTTTAGGGATGTATCAAGAACCAGAGAAAATCTGAGAAATTTAGGGAAGATCAGAGAACCTCGTGGGCAGTTCCATGAATTTCAAAGCAATATCAGATATTTTAAAGAACTTCTGAGGTCTTCAGAATTATACAGTAAACTTCAAGGAAGTTCAGAGATTTTTAAGGAAGTCCAGATAACTTCAGGGAAGTCAAGAGACATTCACGAAAGTTTAGAGATTTTGAGATAAGTTGCGTGAACTTCAGACTAGTTCCAAGATCTTAAGGAAAATATCGGGATCTTAATGGCTATTCAATGAGCATCTGGATAATTGCAAGATCTCTATTACCTTTGCCTCACTATTAATGTCAGACTGTAGTAAATTACAGTCACGTTTCAAGGTACCCTATCTACAGATATCGGTTTAGATACATAAATTAATTGATCCTATATCCTGCTCCTCTAAAATGGAACGAAGAGTTTCGTTATAATTCTTATTATTAAAATGCTAGGAAGGGAAACGGATTCGATGCTCAAATCTTATTAGCCAAATACATCCGTAGATCATAGGTCCACCGTTGGCAATGCACCCGTGTACTGAATGGGCATTTTTGGTTCGAATCCCTTCGGTGTCCTTAGATTTTTTTTTTGCAAATTTTCTCACACACACGTCTCTTACCGGTGATATGTGTTTACCTCTCAGTAACTTTTTCATAAAACTATTAATATTGACTGAAAAGTCAATAATCACAATTAATATAAATATTTTTGATAAATGTTCATTTAAATACGTAATAATGTGAACATGACCACCGTAAAAAAAAATACATTTAAGCCCTATTATCCTATTTGCCAGTGCAGTTAATTTTCTTGTGAATCCATTAAAACTTGAGGATCGTGTTCTTGAAATGGTTTACGTGGACAATATCATGTTTTTTTCAACTGGCTACTGCGAATGTTCAATTCAAAAAATTGTCTTAAAATAATATATTCGATTTTTATATTTTTGTTCAGCATTTTCCCACTGTTCCTTTAAGATCGAATTGACCCCAGGGCACTTTGATGGACTAGAACTTTTTTATTTGGCACTGAATTCGTCTAACTAACTTTTAGGTGCATCCTTTTGCAATCTTTAATACTAGATTAAATTTGATCCTAAATGCTTGATTAATTTTGCATTAATTTTCTCGAACTTACCTCACCTACAAACTTTCAAAATTGCATTGGAAATTTTTTGAGATAAGACAAAAAGACCCCAGGGTAAGCTTTTTTAGCGCAGACCAGTGATGGCACGAGTACTGGTTTTTCAAATTGTTTCCTTGACATTTGATACTTTTCGCAATGAGCAGTGAAGCCACAAAAAAAAAAAAAAAACTTGCAAGCGATTTTTGCCGTTTGTTGTGACATTTCTAATTGTACCTTAATTTGTGTCACGAAGAATTTTGCTGATTTCTGGCCACTTACTGTATTTATTTGATGTTCATTGCATGGAATCAAAAGATAATAATTAATACTAAACACTGAGATGCAAATAAGCAAAGATGTTATATATGTATAAGTGGTGACCCCCACATAACCCGCTCCGAGTGTTACCCAGTCACGCTACGTCACTAAGTGGATTTGTGAACTTTTTGGAGAAACGGATGCCTTCTCATACAATGCAGAAAAAATAGTATCTCGTTTTTTGCGTGTATTCATTTAAAATGTTTTGCCAAAACGGCAATAACGGTTATTCAATTTTGAGTACTGTTATCTCAATTCTTGTAATCCCGGTTTTGCAATGTCTCTGGTTGTTCAGTATAGGACAAAAAACATACACTTTTTACCAATCGATGATCAAGGAATACAATCCCAATTTGCTGAAGTTTTTGAATTGCCTCCATCACCTGAAAATATATAAAAGCTGTTAATTTTCATCATGTTCAATCAAATATATACACGCACAAGCTGACTCAGTGTCTACATTCACCGCATTAAATAATCAAATCATTGACATTCTTCTTTGTACACCAGGGTAGTTCAAGTTTGTACGGCAGGTCACAACTCCTTGATCCCCACTGTTCTTGCAATTTGTATTGCATGTGCCATCAGCTGTGAAAAATTTGAAGGGATTACTCAATATCGCCCATATCGAAATTATATTGGGCAAAATATGCAGACCAACTTTGTCGAGGATCACAAACCGATTCGACTCGCTGTGTTAAATCTAATATAAGTAACCATATCATGTAATTAACCATTTAATGCCATTTACTTTTAGCCAAGTTCTCCGCGCATGACTACATATAAGTTATCCGAGCATAAAACAGCGAACTTGCTGAATGCCAAATGGCTGATGAAGATACAGAAATCAAACCAATACGCAATCTTCGACAAATTAATGCTGCCGGAATCCACTTAGATCAAATCCCAATACAAATCTAAAGGACAGTGAGCAGCTGAGGGTTGTAAAGTTGAACCACTCTGCTGTGCATACTTTTGCGTTCAAAGCAACAAAAATCACACAATTTTTCATATTAGCTTTCGCCCAACAAACGTTGAGACCGCATGAACGGAGGATGAGAAATACCGATTTGCGATCCAATGCAAGAACATTGGAGACCGAAAAATGTGGAATGTATAAGTGAGAGAAATTAATTAAAACGAAAAAATAATAATAAATGAAACGTGTTTCAATTGCACTTGAACCACGAACGTTGCGATTATCAAACCTGTACTTTTCTACTGCTCCATGCTTAGGAAAATGGATAGGTTAAAAGTGAATAAGAATCGCTCATAGTACGATAATTTGATTTCACATACTTCTTCTGTTGAACGGAAATTGAAGAAAATCGAAGCAAGTGTGTACCGTAAAACGGGGTACCTATCTTTGATAATGCGGGTAACTTTGATAGTATAATTTAAAGATTAAATTTACTCGCTGCACTTTTTCCAAATTAGAAACATTGGTTTCATATTGTAGCTTAGGGTATTTCCACTTACATCGTATATAGTTTTTATATAGTATGTGTTACATATTAAAAAACAATTTTCGTGTTTTTCGCCTGTTTGAAAAAGAACTCAAACCATCACTTATGAAATGTATCTCTGATATAGCCATTACAAATTCAATGTTGTATTCTTATTGCTTATGATAATTTCTGATTATATACTCATTCACAGTTTCATATTTAAAGAGCTAAATTGATTGAGTTTCACACATTTTTTTCTACATTCATCGAGCATTATCAAAGTAACCCCAAATCAAAAAACTGAAGTTTGGTCACAAAACTAAAAAAAATAGTGCAAAGGTTTTAATTTCCGTTAAACATATTACTAACGAATTTACTCTTGGATCCTCAGTACTTGTTTTAAAGATATAAAATTTGAAAAACATTCATTGCTGTACCAATTATTACTTTAAAAAAAACTATCGATGTTACCCCGTTTTAAGGTACGTTGTTCTACAATGTTATACATAAAAAGCTTGGTTGTATAGTTGAAAGCGTTGACAGCACAACAACATAAAACAGATAAAAATTCATTACATCGTCTGCATGGCCAACTCATATCATTCTATGCGGTATTCGCTGGAAATGCAACTAACATTGAATGTAATAAATTTTTGGTTTGCGTGTGGATATAGAAACATATGCTTCTTCAGCTAAAAAATGGCTTATTCTGCCATTAAACAGATCAAATTTTTTGTTGGGCATGACAAGATGCATGCATGTGCAGCAATACGCAATATTTCAGTTACCCTTTCGGTGAGTTTTGATGTTCCATCGACGACGAAGTAAATCTCTGAGAAGCTGAAAAAGGCCGATACAAAGGAGATGGCTAGCAAATGCAAATCATTCATCGAAGAACGTGACAAGTCGCAGAAAAACATATACAGCTGAAATAAATTAAAGAGTTTTGTTAGTGACATATCGGTACAAAGATTGTATCAAGCGCTGAAAATATTGTTGTTCCAATTTGCACTAAAACCCTGGTGACAAGTGCCATTCAATCAAAACTTTTTTGTTTGTCTACTTACCAGAGCAAAGCCCAGCTAAATTTCAATATAAACATCAAACTGAAATCATAATTTGATTTCAATTTACGCTATTGACAAATTTCGTTTTTATGGCTTTCTCAGTCTAGGGTAATTCAAACAGTTAGTTTTGCATTGCCCTAGACAAGAATTACCCTAGACTGAGAAAGCCATAAAAACGAAATCTCCATAAAACCAGTCGAACAACCAAATCAATCGCTATTGACAAATTTGACAACAAATTTTGTTTTCATTTTGTATTTACTTTTCAAAAATATGTTTTTATGGTTTTGTTTTCATTACCTTAGCAGGATAACAAATTGAATGCTCGTTTTGTTATCAACAGGAGAAAAGTACACTCAAGTGTTTTTTACACGGTTTTTTTTCTACGCGGTTTTTTTACATGTTTTTTTTTCACGGTACGTCGTAATTAACACGGTACGATTTCTCGATAACCTATCTACTTGATTCGAATCAACTTATCCGTTTTAAGCCATAGGTAATCACAATTTTATGTGGAAATACAGAATTTTCTAAAATATATCTAAATAGACCATAGCATGCTGTGAATTCGAATGGCATAAAAATCCACTTTTGTTTTATATTCTAGAATGTGAAAAATCAAAATCTTGGTAGCTTTTTTACACGGTACATATCCCCCGTGTAAAAAAACCTGAATGTCGCTTGCTCGCACTGATAGCAGAATTAGTTTTCAATTATGTCAAAGGAATATTTTTTTGCTCTCAATTTTGAAATTTTAACCGGTAAATCAACCAAAACGATAGCAACCTGAGTAATCATTATCAGCGACATGGGGGTGACCCCGGCGTAGTCGTTAGCATCCATACCTCTCACGCCAAAGTTACGAGTTCAAATCTCACCCCCGGACAAGTCACGAATGACCCAAGGGCGTTAAAGTGACCATGATAAAAATAAAAAAAAAATCAAAAAATAATATCAGCGACATCACAACATCAAATATTGACTTCAGTTTGATCCTCGGGAGACTTTGCTCGGGTAACTTGATGCTTTCTTCGGCGGAGTTTTTCTGATAAGCAACATAGAAAAATAATAAACAATATACAATTTGCCACAGCATCTAATTTTTACAAAATTTGAAATCCCATCTTAGTTTCTTATCTTTTTCATCTAAAATTTCAGAGTGGTGTCTCTTAACATTTTTGAGTAATGGTTTTTTAAAGTATTTGATGTTCGGAAAAGTTGAAATCAGAAGCCACATGTGAAAAGGGCATACAAGCTTTTTGTAAGCAAACCTTTGTAGGTCCTTTTCTTTCGATCAGGATAGTTACGTTCATGAATGGAAAATGTGTTTTTAAAAAGTGAAAATAATGGTTCAACGTTTATTTTTCTTTAAACCTATAATAAAAGAAGCATTCTTGCTCGTGATATTGTATCTCAATTAATTACTCAAATAAGGGAATTATTCAAGCAGCAGCTGTCATCCAAAACTGAAATTTTATATGCTGCATGTACCTGCCAGTCTAGCTAATTACATCGTACTTCACGTTTTGGCTGTATCCCTTAGGAACGTATTTTTCACTTTTAGGACAACAATTAAAATATGGACAGAAGTAACTAAATGAGGTAGTTATGATTTCATATATTGAGAATCCTGTCCAGAACATGTAAAAAATAACATAAAATATTATTGTGCCATCGGCGTGAAGGAATTCAAGGAAAATAAAAATATATAAAATAGCATTGATTTTACACCAAAACAGCTCAAAACTACCACTGACTCATCAGCATTTGCCCAAATCACTTACCCTTGGAAACACATCTAGTAGAAAAGTTTTACAAAGTGTGGGTGAAAATTTGAGACCAAAATATTAAGAAATAAAAAAAAAACCGCCCATTTGGATACCTGCCAGGTAATCAGTCTTCTTACTGTAGTTAATATACCAAAAACAACATGTTCTTACATGTATAGGAATTTACATTAAAAAAGCTTCAAATTTACGTTCTAAGATCACGAATAGCTTATTTGGTTGTGGAGTAATCTCTTCTGAAAGTTGAAATTTTTAAAAATCTCGAAAATCCATGGTTGTAGCCCAGAAGGATCTAGGCAAATTAGAGCAAAATAAAAAAGGCGTTTGTTCAGAATGCCAAAATGAGCGTTTTGGCCAAGTTTGGCTCAAATCGGTGACATCGACAACTACTTTTTAAAATTTGGTGCGCACTTGAGCTGGAATGACCCATATCCAATGGATAATAATCATTATAATTTCACATCACTTTCATGTAATATCATAATTGGGAAGAGCACCACAAAATCACATGAAACTTATGTGTCAAATTAAATTTGAATGTTATATGAAATTCAGATAGATATCATTGGTTTTGTTAATGGAAATATATTATGTGCATTCCCAATGGAAACTACATGAAAAAAAATTTCCGTGTAGAACATGCATTAGGTAACATAATCATTAGACTGGCCCACATTTATATGGGGGAAATTTTTAATCATATTTTCAATGGGCCAACCCCTTGATTTGTGCCCTTACACAGCAAAAAAATAATTTTAATATTACATCCAAGGGGATGTACTTCAATCATGCCGAAAATCTCATGTAATTTTTAAGGCCACAAAAATAATCAAATGCAGTAAAAGCAGCGTAATGTCAGTTCATGCACTGTATTAATGATAAGTTTGTTATTTTTGGCGAGTAATATTAAACCATATTTTCGACACGATTGATGTGCATCCACTTTGATATGATATCAAATTTTTTTTTTTGCTGTGTAGGTGAGAAAATCACTCTCTTTTGATTTAAAATCCATACGGGGATATTGGTTGAAATGTATGGAGAAATACCATTCCTTCAATCTTTCGAGCATAGAACGGGTTCAGCAAACTCGATTAAGCTCAGAATTTCAGTAGCTTAAACTATAATGAAGTACTTTACTGAAGTATCACGATTCAAGTTAGTATTATGGAGATATTAATTATAGGAGATTTGGTTGAAATTTTCATGTACAAAATGCTTATATTCATTCAAAAGCGTTTATCTCAATAAAACTTACTGAATTCATGATGCAATCTTCAGCAAACATGTTACTCATTGATTGTAGTACAATTTTTGAACATCTGAACCAAATCGAGAATAAGGTAATTTTTTTATGATCGATAGAGTGTAGGAGTGTCATTTTTTCATGTAGTTTATTCAAATTCCCCATACAACCATACAAACCAAATGAGCTGAAACTTTCGGATAGTGGTTTTCAGGTGAGAAAGGAACAAATCTAGGGGTGGAAAATTAGAACGACGATTGTTGACGAACGCCCCACCACACACTGTTTTATTCATAATCCATCATAATTTACTAAGGTGTATTGGAGATTAAACTGTATCAATGTAATATTAATAAGTAAACAACACATATGTCCTCATTAGGCAAAATTTGTCTGGCAATTACTATTATTACTTGTCAACAGATTACTGCTACATTTCATCAATCACTCCAATTAAGTTAACTGACAGCTAATTGACGAGCATAGCTAATACACCTACTTCTGAAACCGCGCAAACATCATGCACTCTGTCAGGCTCACGTTCACACATTTCAAACGTTTCTGGTTAGCACCTGTTTGGCATAATCGCCATCAAATTCTAACATAGCTTACGTTGTCAACATCTAAAAGGCACTTTCGGATGGAACTACTCTCTGCCTTTGCCAGACCTTCCTCAACCGGATCCCACATTCAATCCCAGCAATACTCACCTGAAATGTCACCTGGCCAAAGTCCAAAACCAGCAGAAACAAGATTGACGGCGAATATATTTCAATTATCGCCAACACTACATCATATAGCTTATCGTACCGAATAATCAACCGGTCCAAATGATCGCTTAATTCCAGTTCGATGTTTGTTAATTTATATACGCTAATATTTGCACCTGGTTGCATGCGGTGGAAATGATGCACCCGCTGGGACAGGTCTCGGTTTATTTCGTCCAGGATGCTGCTGACAGCTAAAAAGTTCATGCAATAGCGGCTGGCCGTTAGCGAACAAACAATGATGGGTGCCATCAGGACCACCGATAGGGACCAGTCACGCATCGAATAAAGCCAATACGTCGGATTCATGTTAAACCACATTCCGGCAATGGACACCGATAGATACGTCAAAAGCAACACCTGAAGCCAAAACTGTCGACGTTTAATTGCCGTACCATACCTACGAATGATTTCCAAGAGAGTAATGAGAATCCGGAACGGTCGAGTAAATATCAACGGCATTTCAATTGGTTAAAGTTCCTTTCAACTATTACCTATGTTGCTCAGCTAATTTCACGAAGATGGAATTCAGTTTATTAATTCTTTCCTCACACACAAACTGACGTCCGTAGATCACCGCAGTTACCAGTAGATTTAGGATCCACACAATAAGGATGGATACCCATTGTTTCAAATACTTGTCAGTTATCGGTCCATCACAGTACCAATCGTAGAATCCATATATCGACAGACAGAAAACCATGACGACTATCGGAAACCAGATCCATTTGATTAAAGTAAACGTAAGCCACTTGTAACATATTGAAATTTTCATTCGGTCGGATCGTACGCAGTGCAAACCGAGCATGGATTCCACCATAGACAACACTATTAGATTGAATTGCCACAGGATTTGCAGTAAATGTGCCATTTTCGATAAACGTTCAAGTATCCCGAAGTGGGTTTCATGAGTGCACTGACGAAAAGACAAACGGTTTCTGTGAACGACACCAATGAAATGGCTGAGATAAGTACAGTCACAATTAATCTATAATAATGACATGATTGAATAATTAACAAACGGTGCCCAGTTGATGCATGATTAATTGAAATGATAGGCTATGAAGGACAAAGCACTTACAATGTAACTAATGTATGCATGACGGCCCTCAAACACACAAGATAAATTTAAATCGGACCAGTAATTTCAACAAACCAGAAAAACCTGCTGACCTCTCTCAAACTCGAGCTAATTCCAAAAAGATACTTATGCGGTGTGTTTCTACCGGCACAGATTTCTTTACCTTGCTTGCTGGTAAAGGTTTAAGTGCCTTCAGAACATCATCCTAGATTGATTCCGCCTGATGAGTTGAGGTTTTAGCTTAAGCTCAGGCCACACTATTGATTGGTCCAGTGTTGTAGTCTATCTTGGGCATATCAAGTTGTTCTTCAGATCTCATGTGTGTAAAACATCAACACGCCCAAGTAGCATTGCATGTTTTATCGACTTCTACATGTCTAAATCATAGTCTATAGAACCCTCATAAAACCCAAATTGTGACTTGGGCGGTGCAACGGAATTGTATCCCCATATCAATCGGAATTTATGATTTTCTTTTGGGTCCAAGATCTCAAATAGGGTTGATAAGGGCAATATGGTCCCCTTAAGAAAACCACATCATAACACATTAAAAACATTCATAAATGAATGATAGTTGTGATCACGCTTTGGAATAAGTTTGTATACAGGGTTCAAAATATGGATAAAATATTATATATTTATGTACCCGAATATAGTAAAAAATATGAATTAATTCAAATTGATTTTATACGAGTTCAAAAAATAACATACCTCCAATTTTTTTTATATTATTGAGAATAACATACGCTCTTTCAAATGCCGTAGAAAAACTTTTTTTTTGTTTGCCCCAACCAGAGATATTAACATTTGAAAAGTGCATATTTTTAGTATAAAAACGTCAATAACTCTTGATCGGCGAAAGATATTGACAAGCTTTGTGCGGCAAAAATTTGCGCCTTCTTAAGATCTAAAAGTTATGTCTTTTTGCTGAGAAATTAGAAATAAGAAAACTAGAGCAAAACAACTGTTTTTTTTAGAGCTTCAAGAAAATAGCTCTAAATCGGACAATTTAAGAGATACAAAAAAGTTGTGTTCTACAAAGTTGCTTGAAATTAGCTAATCAGCTATAACTTTGCCGAAGAATGTATACCTTAATTTATTCAAACAAATAAGTTAGATTTTTGATTTTAATGATAATAGGAACCACCCTAGAATTCATTGTCATAAAAATGAGGGCATAACTATAAGGAACAACTTTTTAGAAGAGACTTTTAGTCTAAAGATTCAATTTCAGGCTCAAAGCATATCATTCCACCTGAATCTGCATTCTGGACCACTGTGCAGCGTCCGTAGAGAACATAGTCAAACATGATTGGTTCAATTTTTCGGTGATAGGAAATAATGTTACATTTTTCTATGCTTAGTAGACTCATCAAATTTCTTGAGCACCAGTCAGCAAAAATACGTAACATATTCTGGAGATCCCAGCAGTCCGACAGGCTTTTAATAATTTTGTAGATTTTCGTATCGTCTGCATAGAAAACGCGGCATCCTGATGGTATCAGAAAGATCGAAAACAGTAGCGGTCCTACCGTCCTACTGTGTTACCTGACTTATAACGAATATACGTTGTATATGAGTACCCCGAATACAACGTATGACTCGTCTAATTTTGCATAGCATTTGCAATGTAAAATTAGACGAACTATACGTTGTATTCGGGGTATTCGTATACAACGTATATTCGTCATAAGTCAGGTAACACAGTAGGTTACTGCCTTGCGGAACTCCCGAGTTGTTTGAGAAAACATCCGATTCCGACGCGCCAATCCTTGACATGTACATAGCGATTCACCAAGTAAGATCTGAACCAATCCACAGCAGTTGACGAGATACCAAGTATCTCCAGCTTGGCCAGCAAGATATTATGGTCCACCGTGTCAAATGCGGCTTTTAGATCCATATACGCAGCATCGACTTGTCATCCTGAATCCATGCATCGCAGACAGTTAGAAGTGAACTGCACCAAGTTCGTGGACACGGAACGCTTCGGGTAGAAACCGTGTTGTTCTGTATCGATATAATTTTTGCAGCGTGCGAACAGAGCACCATTTATGATAATCACGAACAGTTTTGAGAAGGCACACAGGGAGGTGATTCCACGATAATTTATGACATTCCGTTTATCTCCTTTTTTGTACACTGGGAACAGATAAGAAAGTTTCCAGCAGCAGGGGAACTCACATTGCTGTGCCGAGAGATTGAATAGCCTCGCAAGTGGAAGGCAAAGATTGGCTACACAACGTTTTAGAACTGATGACGGAATGCCCCCTCTCCACATCCGACAGCAGGTCCGGAACGACTATGGCGAACGAAGGCTGCTGATGGCATGGCGAACGAAGGCTGCTGATGGCATGACTGAGGCGGAGGGATTGGGGGCTTCCAAGAGGCTTTCTACGGTGCGTTCCGGGGTTCCCAGGATTGGGTATTACAGAGACATCATCACAATGACTAACATAGTCCGAATTGCTGAAAATTTGATCGGCATCAGGCAGTGAATTGTCAATATATTGATTGTGCTTGCCTGTAGAAGCAAGCTGGAAGACTCCTGATCCATATCCAGTCACAGGGCCAGGACGACTATGCTGAGTGCTGGTAGGAATCGGCACGACTGGTCTGAAGGAACCAAGAGCTTCCAAAAGGCGATTATAAGTGCTTCTCAACTGGAAACATCCGGCAGGTGCTTGAAGCGTTGCACTGGAACACGGAAACTGATCAGGCAAATGACTGTAACTAATGTATGCATACTTGCTTGAAGACGATGCTTGGGAGACCCCACCACCGAACTCGACCGCAGGGCCAAAACGACTCTGATGGCAGGAGATAGAACAACTTTGATGGCGGGAGACAGCTAGCGCGACTGGATCGAGTGGTTCGAGGTCTCCCATAATGCGACAGGCAGTGCGTTCTGGTCTACAGCGCTCCAATTCACAACGCAAAATCCAATTCTGAATCAGCAGACTGGGTCTAGTCCGGAAATGGGAGTGGAGAACTTGAGAGGTCCCAGAATAGGAGAGATCGTGATGGTAGGCGTGTTCAAACGAGGCAACCACATGTTTTTTTAACCGTCTTCAAATTCACGGAACAAAATTCCTTTCGGCCATGTATCCGATCTAAGAGCAGATTCGCGTAGTTTGGGATCCATTCCGACTTTGTACGAGATGAAGCTCATACCACAGACAAACAGACGTAACTCTTTGAAAAAGTTTTTCTTGAAAACATAGTATCTCAAAACATAGGACCTCAGTAACGACATCTCTCAGCCTTCTCGCGGACCCCAACCTTGCTCCCTAACTCGCAAACAATATTGCATGAAAGTTCTATAGAATGTATAGAAACGTCAATGTGATCCGATGCCAGCGCTGCGGCGAGTAGTTCGCGAAACTGATAATATTCAAATCAACCGTTAAATCCGTGAACGAAGATACACAATGAAGAGTTATGTCTGTTTGTCTGTGCTCATACGGCTGATGTCGGATCCTTTTTTGTTCTATTATTGGGAACTAGAAGTCAGCCGCATTTTGTAGTGCGTATATTTAATTTAAAGAAAAATCTGGAATAACAAGATTGCTGATACGATTGTAATCAGATTGAAGCTGGAAGACTAAGGAATCGTTTGAATACATACAGCGAATAGTGCTGTGACGATATCGATTAATTTCGGGTATAAATTATCGATGCGATAACCGATATTTAAAAATCCAATACGCACGACAATCGAAATTCGATATAGGTCAGATGTTATTAAGCATCGACATGGTTCTATCTCCAGTTGAAGGATCTGGTAACGAAGAATTTGTTCGTGACGAGCCATTGAGAAAAATCTCTACCGCTAATTTGATATGGATTTATCACGAGGGAATGGTTCAATGCAATGGTAACCGAAGTGGACGGCTCACGTCGTACGGAAATTGATATGTAGGTACGCGAGGATTGGTATAGAACTAATAACATGTGCTATTTTATGGTACTTATCTTACTTAGGACAAGTAAGAATAGTACATGCCCTTTGTTCCTGGTGGCTCTGAAACTTCTGTCAAATATTGCAACCTCAGTCCCTTGGGAGCGTTTATTTTCAAAAACACGGCGAATTTTGAACGATGTAGGCTTGAAGAGTGGACAGAATATTGATGTTTTTGATATTCCAAATGCATTATGAAGTTGGAAGAGAATGAAATATGTGTAATGTATTTTTCATTGAATATTGAACATCGGATCCGATATCGATACTCAAAATCCGATATCGAAATGATATCGATATTTTCAGAGACTGATATCGTTAATATCGATAAATACGACCTCGTCACAGCACTAACAGCAAAGTGTTTTGATGACAAAATACAGTGAAATTTACGGTTATATTTTGGTTGCCGAAAACAGTCAATTAGTCCAAACACCCCATTTACAAAGTAGACTACGTATGACGAAATAGATAAAAAAAAAATTAATGTATTAATAATTAATAAATTAAGTAGAACCGATTTGTCGCCAGTATAAGCAAGGTGTTAATTCATATAAACTCAAGCAGGTTTCTCCCTATCTGACTGCATTAAGATTATAAGAGCGATTAAGTAAAAAAAAAATAGATAACGTGGTCGTGTGTGTTTTAACCGAACAACACACATTTATTAACAGCTTTATTGTGATATTGATCAATTCAATGGTCATTACAAAAAATATTATTTTTCATTCAATAGATTTTTTATTCGAGGATAAATTGTGATTAAAGTTTGATTGATTTTATAGGAAAAGGTAAATACAACGCTTAATGACAAATAAAAAGGAAGACAAATTTTATTGATCACACTTCAAAAACATATTGTCAATCGCGCGCAACTTTAAGCGATAAATTATTGTTTCTACTGGTTACCATTTGCTATAAGCAAGTAAATTGGTGTCGTCCGTTTTGTCCCGAGTAGCCTTGTACGCTTCACGTTCCTGATCCGGATATTTGGTTGGCAGATTGGGCGAATGCAGATTTGCTTTGGCCGGGAATCGAATGCCAGCTATTTCGACTTCGTAGTCACCGTTCAGCACGAAATCATTCGTCACCGGTAATGGTTTACCCTTAAAGTCCAGATTTTTCACAAACCCTAAACATATCTAGTATGAAATATATACAGAGGTTATTGTATGGAAATTCTTGATATTAAATTTGAGGTTACCTGTTTTTTGAACGTAAAACCATATGCTGTTGTCGTTGTTTGACCACAATAGACACCATTCCTATAGATTGGTTCACCTCCCCAGCTCCACAGATCAATATCTGAATCGTGATCGTTGATCAATAATTGTATGTACATACGCTCAACGCCCTTTTCACGTTGCTTCAGAAGAGCTTCTCGTCCGATGAAATCGACTTCTTTCTGCGAAGAGTAAGAGACTGATTTAGTTTTTAACTCACCAATATAAGATTGAAAACTTTACATCAAATTTAACGCGCCACATTCGCCCACACTCCAACGGGGTGGTAAACGTATCCAGATCTTGACCCCAGAATGCAAAAAACTTCTCAACCCTTAAGGTTCGCATGGCGTAATATCCACAATGTTTCATTCCATATTTCTGACCGGCTTCCATCAACTTGGTGTAAACGTGTAAAGCAAATTCGTTCGGTATGTACAACACGTATCCCAACTCTCCCGTGTGCGTCAAATTTAAGGCTCGGATTCCATTGGCAAGTCCTACGTCTAATTCCTGAAAGTGAAGAAAGCTATAATGTCACACCAAATAACCAATTGACATTTCATTAACTTACCTTACAAGTAAAGAAAGGGAAGCCCTTCGGCGAGAGATCTGTATCGGTTAACTCCGACAGTAGTATTCGAGTGAAAGGACCCATGATGCAAATGGCGGTGAACATGGAGGTGACATCCGAAACGCTTACACGACCTCCCGGTGTCAAATGGCGTTCGATCCAAGCCTTACATCTGGCCTGCTGTACCGTTGGGGCAATCATCATGTAGCTACAAAAAAGATCAAACAGATATTGCTAGAAAATGAAAACTATGTACTTCATTGACAAATAGCTTACTGATTTTCTGACAGCCTCGCCAACGAGCAATCGTTTTCATATCCTCCATGTCGGTTATGCATTCCGGTATGAATTATTGATCCCACCGGTTGATCTACATCGTTAGAACACAGATATTGCAACAGGTCTACAACCTCCCGCCCTTTGGACCACAGATCGATTTTCGTGAATGAACTGTAGTCACTCAGACCGATTCGCTCTCGACAGTTTTCGTATTCGCGTTGCACATGCTCGAACCAGTGCGGTTTACCAAACCCATCGGTTGATGCAATTCTAAACCTGGAAGCTCCTTTTTCATTCAACGAGTGTTTCTTGTCAAACCAAGCCGGTCTTTCATAGCCCATCACCTGACTGAAGACGGCTCCGGCTTCTTTAAGAGCTGGGAAGATTGGAGACATCCGAAGATTGCGGCCAGTTCGAAACTCGTAGAACGGATAGCTCATATCGTAGTGCAGTCCTGGAACTTCACGTACTCGATCTCGCAGGAATTTTCGATTGTTGTGTAGTCCAAGGAAGCGTGAAATATCCAGTTCATGAAGGTCTACCGATGAATAACCTAAAAGAAACGAAAGAAATGATACCCGAGCAAAGTCGGTTAACAAAATGAAAGCAAGTCGATATTAAAGTTTGCAGTTTCCATCATAATGAATACTAATTTTGATTTCATTTGCCGAGACAGAAGTCTGATATCATATTGTGCTTTCATTATGCAGTCAAGACTTTTTAAATAAAAACAACTTAACTTGAAGTTCTGCTGGTAACGTCTTGTTTAAAATTTAATTTAAGGTCATCTGTTGTTGAACTAACGATTATTGTTTATTTGTTTTGTATAACACATTTTAGGTCGTTCGAGTTTTGCCCGGGGTGAGATTTGAGCTCAAGTCTTTCATCGTGAGAAGCATGGATGCTAACCATTTACACCAGGCCCGTATTCAGTTAAACAACATGAATGCAAAATCAGTAATCAAATTGATTTAATTGATAGCAGGATTAGTTTTCCGATTGATTCAACAGTGTAATATTTTGCTCTCATTTTTGCTGTGTTCACCGTTAAGTCATCCAAAATTAGATCAACTGGAGTATTCAAAATAAGTTACATCATAACAGTAAATTTTGATTTCAATTTGATCTTCAGCTTTGCTCGGGCAGATCAAAATTGGATAATGTAAGCAATTATAGTCAAGAAGTGATGAATATTATTATTATTATTATTATTATTATTACTAATATTTAAGACAAACAATCTTGCACAATGGAGACGGGCCCGGCGTAGCGGTTGGCATCAATTTTTGTTTTTCGAGAGCGCTCTCAAATGTGTGAAAACACAGAGTGTGGCTCTACGGTGCGGATATTTTGAATTGTGATAGGGAGATTAATATCACTAAACTATCTTCTTTAAGATTGGTTAACTAAAAATTCAATTAGATTTAACGTAACCATTCTATATTAAAAAAGTATCAAGAAAGTCCCGAAAGAGCGATCTATCCCTGGTTGTTTCCATGTCATTTGTCATTCGCCAAAACCTTCATATTTTGACTTCAGAAATTGCAATGTGAATTATGAATTTAGAATCTACAAACAGGTCGTTGGTTAAGTTCTCCAACAAACAAACAACCTTTTTTGAAATCTGGCTACACCAGTGCAATTTCTATAGATCCTTTTTTTTATTTGTTTTAAGTGTATCGGATTACATATTGTATGTTTTTTTAGATGTTTCCGAAAATCTACAAGCAATGCAACCTTTACGTATAATCAAGATTAAACGGTAAACAAATTCAATTTTCTCGTTTTTGTGAGTTTTGTATTCAACCATGATACTATTAATTTCATGGTGGTCTAATTTTTCTTAGCTTAGCTTTTTCGCTTAATTTTTTTTTTTTTTTTTCATCTAACATCTAATTTATTTAGAAAATTCAAAACTGTGATTTTCAATCAAATGTTGAGATTATTGTTAATGTTGTAAGTAATTCAAGTTAAATAGACAAGATCTTTTGAGCTCATGAAGAGTATGACATTTCCGAAAAATGTTAATGCCTTCAAATATTGAGTGATTCTTCAAAATCCAATATTTTCTTGAATCCTTAAAATAAAAAAAATCAACTCATTGAGTTGTGGAAATTGTTTTACTTCCAGAGCTTGATTCCTCCGATAGTTTTTTTTTAATCTCAGTATCTGCTAAAATTAAACTTAACTTTTATTTTTTACTATTCTAGGATATTAAAAAATCGATATCTGGAATCCAGAAAATGTTTCAAATGTATAATCTTCTTCATCACCGTTTGGCTTTTTATCGGAAAAAAAAACAAATTAATTCCAAAATCTCCAAATATTTTTTGCTTAATATTAATTTATAACTTCAGTATTTTGAAAATTTACCACAAGCTTGAAAATACTTCCTCTTCCGGGTTTTGAAATTTCCTTCAACTGTAATTCTCACCTAGATTCCTTGATGTTTTCAAACATTTTACAGTCTCCCAGTATTATAATTTTTTGTTTATGTATTAAATGATTTCCAGCATCCTTAAACTTTGATTCCTTACTCGAAATCTTAATGCTATTGGAAACTTTACTCATTTTCTGTTTTTCTAACAGAATCTTAGCAATTCGAAAAAATGGAAATGTCCTTTAGCCATGAATTTGTAAACCATGTCCGTAATATTCGATGTGGTAAGCTTCCTCTTAACAAAAATAACATGGAGTTTTCCGAATTTTCTTGAAATTCTTGAAACTTCATTAAAGATCACGCAATTTTCCTAATGTTTATGACACTCCCAAATTCTTTAAAGTTTTTTGGTCATTGTTCTTGGAGCATCTGTAAACTTCCTGCAGTTTCCAAACCACATTCCATCTACCGAATTCCATTCGATTGTTGGGACGGTTTCGAAGCTCGCAAATTATAGCTAAAGATAATTTCCAATTATGAACAATGAAATGTCAATGTTAGTTTGACATATCTATATACAATTTAGTTCTTCCTGTTATTATTTTTTGATTATATGTGTACTAATACACTGTTGCATATTGTTATTTAACTTTTTGAGTTTTAGTCTGAACATTTTCAAACATGTCGACTGTGGAATTTGATTCTAATGACAGATACGGTTCATGATATATTTGTTTGCTATTTGTATCCCTGAATGATTATTTCACGTTCTCTTGATTTACAGACGTACGTTAGAACTTTTTAAGAGAACAATAAATTTAAAAAAGCTCCAAAGTTTCGTGCACTTTGCGGTAAATGGGTAAATAGATGCAGACTGAGGATTTCTCCACATATAAGCACGATAAGAAATTATGATAATGTAATAATGTAATTTCGTTATATACATAATAACATATTGATTAATCTTTTTGATTACCAAAAATACTGATAACATCCCAAGTAACATTGCAGGTTTTATCGCGGTTTTATAGCATTCTACAAATCTAAATCATGGTCTACAGAACCCTCATAAAACCAAAATTATTACTTGGGATAATATGTCGTTGATTACTTTTCAGTGATGCTAAGATTTGTCATTATTTTGATAATATTCATACATTATTTAGATCTCATTTGAGTTCTGATAGCCAGTTTAGTCGACCACAGAATTGTCAAGTTATGTTACATGAACAATCGGTGACATCCACCTGATGTGGTGTATTCACTAGAACTGGAATGGATCATGAACATGCTATCATTTCCAGGGCTGTTACAAGATTTTCTAAATTTGATCCGCGAAATCCGCGATTTCTCAAAAGAGATCCGCGACTTCAAATACTAATCCGCAACAAAAAAAAACATTTTTTCATTGTCTAAAAATAGCATTTGTATACTTCTACATGGCATTTCAAGCCTATTGCTTATATAGTAGTATATTAGATTTTTGCCTGCTCTCAACTTAGTGTTCTTTGAAGTACTTTCACATTTTAATTGAGAGCTTTCTATGCCTGTATCATCCTATGCCAAAGAAAGTAGAGAGATTTTCCAACCCGAAAAATTAATAGACCGGACGGGAATCGAACTCAGTCGTCTCCAGCATGGACTTGCTTTGTAGCTGCGCCTTTACCGACTGAGCTAAAGGAGTATCGTTTGTAACCTTTGATTTTTTTTTAAATAGCATTTATCATCTTCAGTTATTTATGTATAGTATAAATTCTGAGTAATTAGTGAACATAATAAAACACCCTTACATTATAAGATTCTATTGAATAATACCGGCCTAGATTTGATGAAACATTATTTAAAAAAAATGCATTTTCATTTGCAATGCAATTTTTTTTTTAAATTTAACCTTTGCGTCTCTGACGTTTTCAAACCAAATACCCTGCACAGAATCGAGAAATTACCATAGTTTCATAAGTCACACTTGTTGGTCACGTCACGTTTGTGTATTTACACGGATATTCCTTGAGTTCTGTCCAATGGTGAGACATTTTCATGATTTTTTTTTATTTCTAATGTGAACCTAGCACTTTTCGTTGTCAAATAATAACCGAATCGTATATATGTGACTTTATGGATCACGCACGACTTATTACTATGTATATAGGAAATTATAGGTTTTCCAAATCGTCCAGGACATCAGTTGATTTGTTCTACTAGATCAACCAAGACTGCAATAACGTCTGTACTATCGAAAAATGTCCAATCAGATTCAAAGTGTCTATGTGGATCATGCATGATCTATTTCCGAGTAATCCAGATGTTCAAGGTTCTTCAAATCGTACTGGAGTTCAGATGATTTATTCTACTAGATCAACCATGACTTGGATAAAGTCTGTAGTATCGAAATATATCCAAACAGATTCATAGTGTCTATATGGATAATGTTTAATTATTTCCACGTATACCAGATGATCTAGGTACCCCAGCAGGCCTGGGTTCAATCCCAGTCGGCGCCGCCGGGATGTTCTGAGGCATAACATCTCTATTCACGCCTTCCTTCGGATGGGAAGTAAAGCCGTTGGTCCCCAGTTCATGAGTTGATGAGTCGATAGGTAGGGTCCAGGTGTGGGAGCTGCCTTCCTGGCACGTCGGTAGCATTGGTGCTCAGCACGGAAAACAAGATCGACGGAAAAAAACAAACCAAAGGAAAAAAAAAAAGATGATCTAGGTTCTCCAAATTGTCCTGCAGTTCAGATGATTTGTTTAACTAGATCAACAAAGACTAGGATAATATCTGTAGTATCGAATTATCGATTTGGAAATCCTAGAACATTTGGCATACACGGAAATAGGTTGGCATGATCCACATAGAATTTATTTGGGCATATTTCGGTACTACAGATATTGAATTAGTCTTGGGTGATCTAGTAGAAAAATAATCTAATATCCCAAATGATTTCAGAACTTATTACATCTTGTATACGTAGCAATAGGTCGGGTACAATCCACATAGACACTTTGAATCTGTTTGGATATATTTCGATACTACATACATTATTGGAGTCTTGGTTGATATAGTAGAACAAATCAACTGAACTCCAGGACGATTTGGAGAACCTAGAATATCCGGTATACATGGCAATTGCTCGCATACGATTCGTTTATGATTTGACAACGAAAAATGCTATGTTCATAATGGAACAAAGGAAAATGTCTCACATTGGACAGACTTCAGGGTATTTCCGTGTAAATCCGATGTGACTTTGGAATTGAGATCATCTATATCGATTATTTGCAGGGTGTTTGGTTTGAACCGGTAAAAAATTGAGAGCCAAATGAACAACAAAATTGATGACAGCAAAATAATCCGGGACGGAAAGATTACAATGAATTCCACAATTTTTGTGACAGAACATCAATCCCTTCGCGATTTTCGCGACTGAAAATTCAAATCCGCTACAAATCCGCGAGAATCGCGAAATCCGCGCCTGTTGTAACAGCCCTGAATTTCACGTTTGAGCGGATTTTATATGTTTTACCTAATTATTGTTTGGCTTTGTGAGTGTGAGTGCGTGGAAATGCATGAGAAGCAAACGTGAATTTTGATGTGTAGATTCGCACGTGAGATTATTCTCTCATGAGGGCTCGATGAATGAGATTTGAGAATGACAGTTTTATAAGAACATCCATGGTTGTGAACAAATGCATGGTTGTGAACAAATGCATGGTTGTGAACTTACCTTGAGTAATGATGTCAGCAATCGCTCTTCCAACGCCTGCAGCAGCAGACATACCAACAGTTTTCATTCCAGCAGCAACCAAATAATTTTGAATCTACAATTGAAACCAGATTCATTAACACGTACACTAAAATAAAATCTTTAATTGCTGACCTCAGGCGCCTCACCGATAATCCATTTGCAGTCTGGCGAAAACGCTTCTGGACAATTGGATAATCGTTCCAGGGTGGCTTCTTTGAGAGAAGGGATTCTGTGCAGTAGCTCCTCTAGCAGAGGATGAAAATGATCCCAATCAGCTGGTAACTTTCGTTCGGCAATCGAGGGAGGGATATCACCATCCTCATAAGCAGGTTTTGCTTTTGCCTCGAAACCACCCGCCAACAAACAACCGTCATTTTCTCGGAAGTAAATGTGACCATCAAGGTCCCGAACCACAGGTATAGTGGAATCGAGCTCGTAGAGGGGTTTTGTATGTAAATAATAATGCTCGGCGGCGTGCAATGGCACTTTTACATATGGTTCGGATAATTGACCAACTTGACGTGCCCAAAATCCGGCACAATTAACAAAGTAGACACACTCTACCGATCCATTAGTAGTTTCTACAGCTTTTACTCTACCATACTGTTGAATGATTTTCAAGACAGAGCAGTTTTCAACTACGGTTACGCCCTTCTCTAAAGATTCCTTGACCAAACTTTGGCAGAATGCATTCGGGTTACCGATACCATCGTTTGGAATCCATAGGCCACCTATCAAATCATTGATTTCAATAATTGGACATAGTTCCTTACAACGCTCAGGAGATACAAGCTCGCACTCTACGTTCCATGCGCTAGAATTGATAAATCATTTTACAAATATTTACAATCTACTCGCTTGATGGCCAGTAGGTAAAAGTAATCTATTGAAAAAATGAATCACACTAATGCGTTTCACACGACCATGTTTGTAAACAAAGCACAAAAGCAAAAAGTACTTACACACTCTGTGATTTCATCCTCCTGAACATCGTCATTCGATCTCTAGTCCTTGCAAGATTCAACGAACCCGTTTGCTTCCATCCTGTGGGCAAACCCTTCCTATCGAATTCTCTAATCAGTTCCAGCGAAGTTTGGGCCAACATAACTTGTGAATATGTCGGTTTTAATTCTCCTAGCAGTCCGCTAAAGTGCCATGGATTTCCTTCGCCGATCCGTCCTTTTTCTATAAGCACCGTGTGTTGGCCCCACCCACGCTGGGCTAGCTGGTATGCAACGGCAGCACCCATGATCCCACCTCCGCAAATGACCACACGGGCATCTTTCGGTGGTTTACTGCTGATTGAATCGAACGTCAAGCCATAGTGATGGAAATCTTCGTTCCATCGTTCCCCACCAGGTGATTGCCTCGGACCACCGGTGGAAATCAAACGCGCAGATAAATATTGCCTACGTTGTCCATCACATCGCACTATGCCATTTGATCTTATAAACGATTTTTTGCTTAAAGTGAAACAGTTTTTACACAATCGAGACTTTTTAAACGCAAGAAACATTTTGGATTCGATTCAAAACAAACATTGCATTCCAGATTCAAAGGAAAACACAATCAGCTGGGAGAGAAAGCTTAAGTCAGAGCTGCCAGGTGGTTTTATAAAAAATCTGTATCCACTCTATTAAAAAATCTGTATTTTCTGTATTGACGATTTTTTTCTTAATTAATCATGTTTTGTTGTTTTACAAATACAGTGCATAAAAAATAACCATAAAATGTGATTAACCACCTATTCGGGCTATCGTACTAACCATACGGGATATAATTGCGCCATTTGTGATATCGTCCGTACTTATTTATAAGAGTGATATGAAGCCGTTTGAAAATGTATGGAGGTTTTAGTTTCTATTCATTATCTTCCTGATAAGCAGTTTTAAATGCAAAAAGTGTACGAGTTCATTACTATTGGATATTTTTAATATAGATGAATACAATTAATTACATCATTTGTATGGTAGTTACACCGAAATGTCGAGAGATGTCGCCCCGCCAGTGCTGGTAAAATCATTTTTGCAGTATGGAGAATATCAGAAAATCCGCAATTTCTTACGAAATACATTTTCAATGCAAGTAAAATGTTTACGAGTACTTGTATTTGTACCATTTTAATGTGCTCGGGCACTTTTCTTGTATTTAACATACATGCTTATATTGGAAATATTCAATTAATACTGTAAATCCCCATACAATCTCAAATCGTTTACTACCAGCTCCATATGCATCCGAAAGCGGATGATGTGAATGTTGTCAAAAACACCATAACATGATTAATTGTCGATGGAAATTTGATAGGTTCCCGAGCAGAGGGTGAGAACAAAATGAAAACAAGAATTATGTTGTTTTCATTATTCCTGATAACTCAAATTGATTTCATTTTGATGCAGTTGATGGCTAACAGAACAAAAATGAGAGCTAAGTATTATAACGAAACTACCGTGACGGGGGTGACGGCGTTTTCCGTTGGAGGGAGTGAGAGAAGCATAAAAGAAACAGCAACGCCTCGAGCAGATCCCACTGCAAAAATTATGGTTTTTAGCACAACAATTAATTTTGGAGAGAAGGGGGTACGCTGATAAAATCGAGCAAGTTATTTTGTTTTTATAAATTTTGAATTTTTTTTTTCTCAAGCATTTTATAAAAATCTGTATAAATCTGTATTGTAATTTAAAAATCTGTGATAAATCTGTATTCTGTATCGGGTCTGTATTAAGATTAAAAAATCTGTATAATACAGATAAATCTGTATAAATGGCAGCGCTGGCTTAAGTTAACTGTCAAATACGATAATAGCTGTAGCAAAACAGAACGGACAATAAGAGTCAAACAACACTCAAAAAATATTGAAATCTAAATTCTCGATAACTTTTTCAAAGGGACGTATCAGCTTTTGTAAACAATGCATTTGATCGTAAATTTGGCGTAACTGGTAGCTCGCACACGCATACTAACACCACTATCAAGTAGCGGAAAACTTCCCATGTCTGATGGTAGTGTTAGCATGCGTGAGCGAGCTGCCAGTTACGCCAAATCGACGATCAAATGCATTGTTTACAAAAGCTGATACGTCCCTTTGAAAAAGTTATCGAGAAATAGTATAAAAGTTACGCTAAATCGCAACTCTCCGTACCGACGCAAAGGTCGGTATAAATGGAGAGAATGCAAACTTAGTATAAAAATGGTTTATGCGTGCCATAGTGTAAAATCGAAATATACTTACAATGTATAGATACGGTTTAATCGAGAGAATGTCTTTTTCGCTTCTTTATTTTATTTATGGTAAATATTATTGTTTTCAAATAGAAATAAAAATTTTCTCAGGAAGGGTTTTTAATTATTTTATTTTTTATGAATATTATTTAAAAAATACTTACCATTTCGATGTTTATTAAGATGAACTCGTGTTCACGAGCTCACGCAGTCTAGCTGCCCAGCAGATCACAGGCGCAGTTGAAATCCGCCGGAACAAAGCTCTTCACAAGCGCGAAGCTGCGAAGAGAATCCAAATGTTATTTTTCCTGTCATTTTAGTAAACACTGATCGAATTCCACTCCGTTATTCGGACTTAGTATAATTTTGACGAAAATTTTAATCGAACCAATGTATAAATTTTGAAACACCATAAAATGCATAAAATTTAATCTATATTCGTTTTGTAATATTTTTGAGTGTACCCAAGAATGTGTGAACTGTGTTGGGAGTGACAAGTTGACAAATGAACAACATTGACATGAATCCGATCGACGTTGTCACTTCCAACATATTTTGTTTTGCTGTGGCTAGCTGCGCGCACGCTGAGTAGATAGAAAGAAGATTGATGACGATTCTGAAGATTCCCTGCAAAAAGATGATACACGATGCAAGTAGATGCGCCAAATGAAAGAAGATTTTTCGAAGGTTGATTCGCTAGTGTGAGATTTGTTGAGCATCTAAACTTGAGATTTAGATGTGTCGCCCCCCTCGACGGACTGTCCAGTTGCTGCCTATCGAGCTGTCAGATGAGTGCCGCACGGTAAGAAAAAAGTACCTACGAGAAAGTTCACTTTTACCTACTTTTGACTAGTTTGTCTCCTTTTCTCCTTTTAATGTTGTCATAAACCGAGGAGCAAAACCACCCAACAGGGGTACTAAAGTGTGGGAACCCAACGTTGAGTGTAATCATATTTACCTACTGTTGGGTACAATTAACTTACTTTTGGTTAAAAAGCCAGTGGAAAATTCCATACGAACTGCACATAAGTAAATGAAAACTACTTTGACCCGCTTTACCTACACGGTAACCAGCGTAAACATAATGTGTAAAATTTCACACATTTCGTGAAAAAAGGGGCCTACTCATAAAATGTGTAAACTGCGTTTACACATTTATGTGTAAACCCAGCAAACGTCAAAAGATGTGTATTTTTTACACATTTTTCAAGGGTGGTTTTTACAGCAAAATGTGTAAAAAGTAATCATTTCTAGATTATGGGTTTTTACTAGGTTTTTTATTAACATCAGAATTTTCTTGTTTGTGTCAATGGTAAAATAAAGACTGCCGAATACAATAATATTTTATTAAAAAAAGAAATGCCATCAACAAAAATAAGTAGCGGCACGTGATTACCTCTCACCCCAGCAGGAAAGGGGTTCAATCCCAGTCGACGCTGCCGGGATGTTCTGACCCGCATAAACGCGAACCATAAATTGACCTTACCTAAAATGGTTAAAAATTGTTTATAATCCCTGCTAAACTTTAACTGAAATGGTTATGGAACTTTACATGAATGTTTAATGATAAAGTTTCAACCTTATGTATTATGGTTTTTTGGAACTGGACCTTACAAATAATGGGTTGTTAAGAACCATTACCATTCCAAATTCTTGTTTTCTCCATACATTTTCAGAAAGAGAACTATATAAGAACGTTTTTACTTATGATTTGAGAACATTAATGGTAATGGTTATGGTAGTCAGTAAGGTCCATTAATGGTTTTGTATTATCGCTCAACTTTACGTGGAATATATCGTGAATTGGTAATCAGTAAATTACAGGCAACCAATTCGCGATATATTCCACATAAAGTTGATCGATGTTACAAATGTCATTGGTGAAGCCCCGGTTCATGAGTTGACGGGTCGATAGGTAGGGTCCAGGTATGGGAGCTTCCTCCCTAGCGTCGGTAGCATTGGTGCTCAGCACGGAAAACAAATCAAGGGAAGAAAAACAAAAATCAGTAAATGAAGTATATAAACTAAACTAAAAGTAAAAACTTTGAAAAAAGTATAAATCACTTACCCTCTAACATGTCCATCGTTGCGCACTGTCCAGTTTGGACCGTAGTTCCTCCACTTTCCTGCTGTTCTTCACTATTTAGCAAATGGCATGCGTAAACAAAGCAGGATGCAGCAAAGTTTGAAGTTTTTTTTTTACCCATTAATGAGTATAAAAATACACATTTTTTGACTGGTATTGCATACTTAAAATGTGTATTTTTTTACACATTTTAGGATCTCCAAATATACACATTTTTTGACAGCTGCATATAAATATGAAAAATGTGTATTTTTTTACTCATTTATGTGTTTACGCTGGTTACCGTGTACTTTTGGGTTCCTGCACTACACGGTAACCAGCGTAAACACATTAATGTGTAAAATTTCACACATTTCGTGAAAAAAGGGGTCTACTCATCAAATGTGTAAACTGCGAATACACATTTATGTGTAAACCCAGCAAACGTCAATAGAAGTGTATTTTTTACACATTTTTCAAGAACGGTTTTTACAGCAAAATGTGTAAAAAGTAATCATTTCTAGAACTTAAATATAATGGGTGCGCATGGTTTTTTATTGCCTTCGGAATTTTCGTATTTGTGTTAATTATAAAATAAAGATAGCTCGAATATAATAATATTTTATTAAAAAAAGGAATGCCATCAAAAAATCAGTACCGGCGCCGGTGTTGTAAGCGTGATTGCCTCTTTCCCCAGCAGGCCTGATTTCAATCCCAGTCGGCACCGCTGGGATGTTCTGAGGCATAACATCACGCCGAGAATCACGCTTTCCTTCGGAAGGGAAGTAAATCCATTGGTTCCCGGTTCATGAGTTGATGGATCGATAGGTAGGATCCAGGTGTGGGAGCTTCCTTCCTGGCGTCAGTAGCATTGGTGCTCAGCATGGAAAACAAATTAAGGAAAAAACAAAAATCAGTATGAGCAAGCAAGTTTTTCCAAAACTTAACTATGAAAATAGTATGAATCACCTACCTTCTAGTATGTCCATCGTCGTACTGTCCAGCTTGGACCGTAGTTCCTCCATTTTCCTGTTGTACTTCACTGAAATATAAACAAATTACGTGCGTAAATAAGGCAGGCTACAGCAAAGTTTGAAGTTTTTTTTACCCATTAATGAGTATAAAAATACACATTTTTTGACTGGTACTACATTCTTAAAATGTGTATTTTTTTACACATTTTAAGATCGCCAAATTTACACATTTTTTGACAGCTGCATATAAATATAAAAAATGTGTATTTTTTTATTCATTTATGTGTTTACGC